CATAAAAATGAAATCTTTCTTGATACATTAAAAAGTGTACTTTTAAAAAGAGGTACCTAAAATAACCAAAGCCATGTACATAAGTTTGTAAATAACTCCCTTCATCTCCTACAGAACCACCCATGGCCCCTCGTGGCTGCTCCCAATATGCCAATGACAGGACTGAGAGGGACATGAGCCCAATCCCCTGACAGATACTGATGCAAGTGTGCTGGGAAACAGCACATCCCACCCATATGGAGAGTTTGTTTGACTGTACATAAATGCACAGATGGAAACAACCATAGACAATCTTCATGCCATTTTCCTTCCTTAAACATCTCAGTGTTTGGAAGGTTCTAAGAGCCTCCTCCTCCTCCTTGTCTCATGACTTTCTCCTCCAAACCAGCTGTTTGTACCATGTCTCCAAATCATTCACATTTTTTATGCCTCCAGCTTGAATATAAATTTTCTCATTTGCTCTCTTTCTGAAAACTTATGTGGAAGTCAAAATATTACTGATGAGAGTGCAAAGGCCATGTAAATAAGTATTTCCAACAAACGTGGAGTTCATTTGTTCAGACATCTGCTGGCTGCTGCCTACCAAAGCCTCCTCAGTTTCTTCCTTCGGAGTTCATGTCAAGACTGAACTCTCAGCCTCCTCTGAAGTTAGGTGAAGCCACATGGACAGAAATCTTTATTCTTTCTTATCTGTCAGTTAAACAAAGTAGACATGAAGGTCTTAGGGGATGATGGAGCCACAGGATGGAAAACGTTTGAGCTTCTTGAGTGACTGCAGGAATCTGAGATCTGTGGACCTGCGCTGGGCTCTTACTGGTGTAGGAATTAATTTTCTGGTACCAAACCAACATTTTGAGCATTTATTGGTCAAACTGGCTAGCATTTTTGACAGATTACTCCTTACTTATCCAAAACACTGCTTTAGATTCTCTGTTCTAAAATACTATCATCCTATGCTTTGTAGAAGAGCTGCTTATATCCTTGGCTACATTACATGTGTTTAGATCTGTGGCTGTCTACCTTGGCTGGCCAACAGAAACTGGGGAGCTTCAAAACTCTCCGTGCTGGGCCCTCACCCCTAAAGGCTTTGTTTTATTCACTTGGTGGTAGAACATCTATTTCCTAAATGCAAAGAACTTCCCAGCTGACTTTCATAGCGTTAAGAGTCACTAAAGCAGAAGTTCTGACACTTGAGTGCACATCAGAGCACTTGTAGGACTTATCAGAATACAGATTTGGGGGCCCCATCCCTACCATTTCTGCTTCTGTGTATCTGGAGTGCAGCCTGGGAGTTTTCACATCTGTATTCCCAGATGAGACTCTTGCTGTTGGTGCAGGGACCACAGTTTCACAACCACGGAGCAGAACTTTAAATCTCCCTCAGTGACAACAACAATAGCAGATGTCCTACTTAGAAAACACTAGTCACACAATTGAGTGTATGCTTGCATTAAAAATAAAGACACACAGGCCTTTATAGTTAATAACGTACCTCCCCTTTGTTTTGTGATAGGTTCAGATTGAGTTTTCTTAGTTGTGCAATCCAACCAAAACACTCTAGAGGAACAGGAACATGGACAATAGACAAGGAAGAATATAATATGAGGGACTGAGCTGGCATGTGGAAGCAAATATTTATTAAGCAACTTCTATGGACATGGCACCATGTAATCTTTTCCTGTTTTTGCCTTTAGTTAAACGAGATTTCAAGAAAAGGGCAGGAATTCCAGACACCTCTGATAAGAATAGTAGAGTTCAGTGAAGGAAGGAGAGTCTTAGCAGGAGAAATGACCTAAAAATACACACACACACACACACACACACACACACACACACACACACACACACACAGAGAGAGAGGATTTGCACTGAAAGTAGGAAAAGTTGGATTTGGTACCTCACAGAGGCATTGAATCATAGTGGATGGAAACGAGAAAGTCTGCTGAAACAATTATCATTTTTGTTGACTCTGATTACCTGGGGCTCCTCTATCTCCCCAAAAGATAGACACAGCCCCAGTCAGAGTTCTAATTGAAACACCTTCCATAGTTTAAAACCCCTTTCCCAACAGATCTCAGTAACCAATAATTTTGTATTTATGATGCATGAATGTACATGTACACATACATACACATATATACATGCAGACACGGATATGATATCAATGATTTACATGGTGGAAAAACTTCAATTTCAGTAGAACTGACAACTTTGTATTTAGCATCACTACTACTGTTTTATTTTACCCTTACCCTACTTTAAATCCACTAAGTATTTTGATTAAACACTATATGCAGGTAAAGCATTATCAATGAAAATGTCTTATTTACTAGCTACTACTTATTTATAAAATATAAAAATTGAGTCTGGTTGTTCTGGCATAAAAGATGAAAAAGAAAGGTTAATTACAAGACATTGATAGATTGTAAGAACCAATGAGTTAGGACTAGAATCTAGACAGCCAAGGACAACACCCCAGACATGCCATGCTGGTTCTGGCCAGTTACTTATGCAACAGGGCACTTTAACCGCTTCTACCTGTCATGCTGGGTGTGCTATGTTGCTGCTTTCATAGAGACACTGGAGCTTTAAGGAAATACCTAGAACTCTCCCTGATGCCACCAGTTCTTGCTGTAGGATTTCTGTGGTAGGCCACTCTGGCCAGTGTCTCTTAGGAATATGTCTGATCTGTGGAACCCAGGTCACGTGAGAATGCTTTTCCTGCCAGGGAGCCTGGGAAGTATTCTTTCCCTTTTATTAAGAGTCACAAGGTAGGAATTTTTCCAAATACAGCAACAGCATTTAGATATGAACAGTCAAATAAAATAAATATGTCCTTTCTGTTAGTTTTTTTTTTTGTTTTTTTTTTTTTTGGTTTTTTTCTCTGGTACCAGGAACCGAACTCACGACTTTGCGCTTGCCAGGCAGGCGCTTTTGCCGCTGAGCTAAATCCCCAGCCCCTGTTAGTTTTTAAAAAGTAAGCATTATACAATTTTCGTTTCCTTAAAAATTCTACCCTTCAAAATCATGTGGACTTTTTTTTAAAAAAGTGAATTTGCTTGCTGACAGAAAGTCTATGGTTCTTTGGCATGAAAAGTACTTTCCCAAAGGCTAGAGATCTTGAAGAGTTTTAATAAAGAACTAATACGTGGATGGTGAGTGTGCATAGAAGCACAGTTAGACTAGTTATCCGGATTTTAGCTCTTTGCACTTTCATATCTAGAGTCCTGTTCATCTTTACTGTTTCAATTTTAGCACAAAAAAGATAAAAATGATGGTTGGAGAGAGTTGAAAGGGGCTGGCTACAAAGGCCTAGACCTCCCTAGTAGAACCAATGGATAATGAAACACTCTGAGGCTAGGACAAGAAGCTGTTATGATGATCAGGACTGAAGGAGCAAATGGAAGAAGTAGACCCCAAGTCCTGCATCTGTGACAGAGTGAACAGACGCTGGTGATGTCCCCTGGATTTCCAGATCAATGCTTGCACCTTCGGTCCACCTGACCTTAACACCACATGATGGAAAGTCCCCTGTAGTTTGTCTGGGTCCTACATCAATTGCAAAGAGATGATTCAAGGCATTTTTCAACTTCGCTCTTTGGGGATTTTGCCAAAGCTGTAGAAGTCCACTTAGCCAGAACACGTACAAAGGAGAAATTCATTGACTGGGTCTCCAGGAGCACTATAAGTGGATTGTGGCTATGAGCTAACGGATGCATGACCTAAACTCCTCAACTTCCTGGGAAATTATTCTATGGTACATGTTAACAGTTCCTCTGAGGACACCCAAAATGATTGCCACCTTATTCCCCATGACAGCAACCAGATAGATCTTCAATAATTTCTTGTTTTTTTCCCCTTTATTTTCCTTCCTGGAGTCAATTCCCAAGTCAAACACCAAATTTAAGGTATTTTTTTAGACCTTGTTTTCAAGTGAAACCAAACTTAGTCACAGAAAACCAGGTTTTGGTAGTGAAATGACCATTGCCAATCTACAACTTGATGTGGAAGGAACAGGAGGAATACATAACCTTATTTATCTCCTTCTCCCCTCTGATGTCCTGAACAATCTCTTTGGAAGCCAGAGATGAGAAAACTCAGTTGATGCAGCCTGTAAGAATTTGTCTCCCAGTCCGCAAAGGACAGAGTGGATGGGGAGGAGCAATAGCAACTACTCATCCCGGCTCACCCTTTTCACCTCTGAGCCTGCGTGAAGTCCCTCAAGTACTGTGTCATGGTGATAATTTCAGTCACGCTATTCCTTGAAATAAAAATTTAGTCACCACCCTGCATACTTCTTAAAAGATAGTAGGAGAAAACAAAGGCAAAGAAATAATTAACATAAATTATAGCTTCTACACACCCTACTTTTCTACCTAATCATTAGGACTAAGGTGATAACTATAGTTTCCTTCTTCTACCACCCAATTCTGGGCTTCCTGTACCCCCTGCTGGCATCTTGGTTGGATGAGGTCTTTGCTGTTGTGACTCAAACCTTCATAGCTACAGTCTCTTTATTTGGATGCCATAATTTTCCAATGATCAGGACTCCAAGACAAAGAGTACTAAGCAAGCCCCTCGTCTTCCATGTTTGGAATCCCCCAAGATTTGAGCATCATTTTCTTGCCTCCATTTTGTGGCAGCATTTCTATTTTTGTTTAGTTATGTAAGGACTCTTTTTTGTTTGCTTGTTTGTTTATTGCTCATGGATGTGAGGTGCCCATAAGAGCCAGCAGCAGGCTCAGTTATAAAGTATTAGATCCATGACTGTGATCCTTTTGGGAAGAATTCTGTCCCCAGGCAGTAGCACCCCCAGACTTTTTTGAGCTAACGGGAGTAAAGATAAACATTTTCAAAGTAGATTATTTCTTGAGACAATGAGATGGGCCACTTCTACCTTCACCCCAAGTGATCCAGATCTGTTTACTTCCAGGTGGGGGAGAGGTACCATCGTTGGCTCTTAGACATATATTTCAGGGCACTCTAACCTCACACAGCATTGCCTGCTGGGTAGAGGCATAACTGAGGTTTCAACATACTAGCAGATTGTCTTCCTGTTATTTCCAGGATGATAACCTCTAACATGGCTCCTAATGATCCTTGTTTCCAGTTAGTCTTGGAGAGCTGTATTTCCCTCCCCTTGAATGTAAGCTGGACCAGGTGACTTATTTCTCATAAATAAGCTATAGCAAAATTACAAGATGTTACTTCTGAGATAGACTGGAAAAGACTCTAGTCTCTGTCTCGCTCTCTCTTGCTCTCACTCTCATTTGTGTGACCTGTTGTGATGTCCACCTGCTCTGTTATGAGTTTCTCTGGAGAGGCCCACATGGAAAGAATATGTCATCCTCAGCCAACACCCAGCAGGGACCTGGGCCTGCCAACAGCTGTATATGTGGGAGTAGTTCCTCCCTTAAATCAAGCCTCGAGATGCCTATACCTCTGGCCACGTCTTGCTTGAAGCCTTGTGAGAAAATCCAAACTAGAAGTACCCAGCTAAGCCATGTCCAGGTTTTTGACCCACAGAAATGAGGAGGTGATATTTGTTGTGTCGAGGAATTAGGTTTGGGGTACTTGTTAGGCAGCAAGAGAAAATGAATATATCCAGCCAACTCCTCCTGGATGACAGAGTCTAGAAACATGAGGAAATTCTGTAGCTGTGAGCCACCGCTATACTTTTGTTGCTGTTGTGGCAATTTAGAACCAACCTGGGAGGAATACCATGGTAATAGACAAAGTTCTCTATATAATCTAAAAGATAGTGTTGATCAAAGCACTACGAATAAGAGGAGCAAATTCTGTAAATAAAAGAGGTATCTTTTCCTATGAAGACAAAACTGCCTTTTCCAGAACAGGAGGCATCTAATGCAATTATTCTGCTACTAGGTGGTAGGCTGGCCTCACGGGGAATAATAATACTACATTAGAAGCTTATGTATTGCTTTTGTGTCAGAATGGTCTTAGCCTTGCAATAGACAGATTTGCCTTGGTAAGGGGACATCCTCTTGCTGGGCACATGCATATCACCTTTCTTCAGGCCATGACCACGTGCCCATGAAGCAAACACAGGGTTACCTGAAAGAGAGACTGATATCCCTCAGACAGATCGCAGTGTTGAAGTGAATATTTGTAGCCTCATCGATACTGAATACTCTCAAAGGTTATGTACAGAAAATAAAGAGCTTCACACTCTGCACCCATTCCCGGTGGCATCTCTTCCCAAGCCTTCTTGTCACCAGTCTTGCAACTCTACTCTTTCTAAGCCCAAAACTCCAAAATTTTCACCCACTAAGAGGATTTAGCATCACACTCTCCCTTAGGGTCACCCCTGAGCAAGACTGTGAGTAGTGGCCAGCATTCCTGGCTGGATCCAGGACAACTTATAGATCCATCCATAAATTAATCCATCATTGTCTTTTCTTTTTTAAAAACTACCCTTCAAAAACTCCACAGGAAGTCACAGGTAGGGCTTCAGGAGAAGGAATAAGGAACTTGAAAGTCTGAACCCCTTGCTTAAATGGGTTTTTAAAATGCCTCTCAGACTTCAGAGGCTTTCTGATTTTCTGTCTGTGTTTTCAGTTGACTATTCAAAGCTTTTGCTGCTGTCTCTGAGAATACCCTTTAGATCTTCAGGGGTGTCCAGATCACACCACAGTCTTTGTCAACATCATTGTCACTAGAGTAACGGAGACCCATAGCCACTGGTCACAAAGCAAGCGCACGTGCACCCTCCATGTGCATCCCAATCCATCCCGGCCAAGTGGTGATGGTTTACATAGTCACGAGGCCACTGCAAACCACAATAACTAGGGTTGTTCCCATCTCACAAGACAGTTACACATGTGTCTGATGAATGTGTGAGCATCGCAAGCCAGATTCCTATCCTCGGTGAGTGATTATTTCCTTGGGCTGTTTCTGGTACCATTTTTTATTAGCTTCTTGGAAGGAAACAAGCAATACTGTGAAAAAAGGGGATGAGCAGTACAATGATCCCTGCTATCCTGTGTATACATAAATGTATATTTTCCCTTCCTTTTTTCTTTCTTATTGTACTGCTGATTTCTAGTGGTCTATTGAAAGGAATAGTCAATGCTTAAATTTTTTTTCTTCTTTTTAATTTTTTCACCAATTTTGCATGCGTATAGCTGGTAATCTGAACAAGTAACTTGAAGACAACAATATGCAATATAACAACCATTGCTGAATTCCTCTCATCTTGTTTAGTGAAATTCTGTATTGTTTCTAATGTTTTTTATTATTTTTATTCTCTTTAAAACGAAAAAAGAAATAGGAAAAAAAAAAGAAAAAAGGGGATCGAAGCGAGTCTAATTAAGGTGTTATTTACAAAGATGTGACTAGCAAAACACCCTGGGATTGACACTCCTGAGTCTAATGAGCTGAGAGAATGAAGTGATTCACAGAACCCAGGGGACCTTAGCTAGAAAAGACAGCCTACTCTAGCAGAAGAGCACAGCCACTGTCAATCTGAATCTTGGCAGGGACAGGTTGAGGAAATAAAGATCATGACCTCAGCCTATCCCACCCCTCCGTCCTCTACCTTGTCTGCCATTGGCCAAACCCAATCAGAATTTAGAGGACATGAAAAACAAGTGATACAGCATATAGCCGTCAGCTGCAGGATCACAAAGCAGGTGACGCACGGTTGTTGGATCTGGAGGGGCAGAGACCCTGCACACGTTCCTAATTGCATTGCAGAGTAGCTCATCCTCCCACAAAGGTAAGAATGGAGTTGATTGAAGGAGCAGGAAGCTGTGTTTCTACTCAGGCTTCAGTTTCCTCATTTGTTAGGAGAGGAATTGGATTAGAGTCCAGACTTTCCACACTGCCTTAAATATGAGTGGGAATGTGAATAGGGCCATGATGTCTGCCTGAAGATTATAAATGTGTATTTGGAATAATCACAGATTTTAATGGAGAAATCAATTATTTCTTTAAAAATGTATATTACAAAATGGAATACAATGTTCTAATGGATTATTAAGAAAAAAAATTTCAGAAAGTGTTGTTCAACTATTGCTTCCTATCTTTACCTAGGAAAATGTATCACTCTCAAAAAAAATCTAATGGATTATTGAGAAAAAAATTTAGGAAAGTGTTGTTCAACTATTGCTTCTTATCTTTACCTAGGAAAATGTGTCACTCTCACCTGCCATTGGGTAGGCTGTGGTGGAGAAGTTTGAGAAACACTAGGTAACTCCGAACAGCTCTTCCATATCTAACATCTGGAGCTTCTTAGATTCAGACTTCTCCTGGACCTTAAGTTCCACTCCCTGAGAATCTAGAGTCACTTTTCAAATGACCTCAAAAGGAAGGTTCAGCTTGGGAAAGTATGAAGCTCCTTCAAAAAATGTGCCTGAGTTGGTGAGCTCATCACACCCTACCATCCCTCCCATAAATAGCTGAGAAAAGATGTGGCCTTTAGTCAGCTTTCAAGCAGTGAGCTGCTCCCTGGAGTGCTGCTGGCTTCACTGAGGGCCAAGAGCTTGGACAGAGGGCGGGCGGGTGGGGTGAAAGGCACCAAGCTCTGGTAGCTTGGAGTGTCAGAACACAGTATGAAAGGGGTCGATAAGAATAAGACATGGGAACAGAGAAGCACTTGGTACTTGGTCATGAGAATGTAGTAAGAACCTCAGAAGTGGTGGGGTTCATTTCAGGTATAGCAAATTTCACTGTTGGTTCCACAGAGCAAAAGGAAATGGACAGAAATCCATTTGATTAGTGTTACTGGGGTGGAGGGACTGTGTCAAGCTGACAAAATCAAACAGATCAAGATAGAACAAAACCCTCAGTTTATAGGCTCTTACATCCTCGTTAGGAGAGAAAAGTGAAAGGCAAGGAAGCAGATTGATTTTTTTTAAGAACAGAATATATTTATTGAGGGAAAGAAAGCTTCTGTCCAAGAGAGGGACAGAAGGGGGGCCCGAGTGGGTTGCCCAAGACTGTGTTTTCTAGGGACTTCTATAGAGCAAAACCACAAGGTGAGGCTGGTCCAAGGTAAGGGAAAAATGGACAAAACTATGGTCAACCAATAAGAACCATTCAGGTAAAATTGATTAAATCAGGATCAAATGGGGAAATGAGTCACATAGCAAGTGTGCATGAATACAGAACAGGGGCTTTTCCTGTAAGGGGTTGGGTCAGGGGCTCTTCAAGGTGATCCCTACCTATCACTGATGTTTACACCTAGCTGATGTTTACGCCTAGGGAGGTATGTGGGTGTATTTGTTTAGTCCTTCGTCTTGATGTCTAGCTCACAGCAGGTATGTATCTTATCTTGTCTTTTATGTTGGCTCCTTCGAGGGCCTGGTCCTGTCTGACTGCCTATAATATTTCTATCCAATTCAGCTGCCTATAACATTGCCCCCTCTGAAGAAGTAACCTGAACTGCTGTGAAGGAGTAATGGGCGATGATTACTCTGGCTTCTTCAGGCTGAAAGGGGTCATAGTTGTTGATGGGCAGTCAGAGATACTCTCTAGAAGGTCCATCTAAAGGTCCACAATAGACACCAGGCATTTTCATCTTGGATAGGCATATAGCTTTAAATCTGGAGGAGACAAAGCCAAAGATACAATTAAGTATGCATGGGCCAAATAATAAGATCAGCAGGATTAGTATGAATATAGTCAGCAAAGATTTCCACCAAGAGGAGCCAATAATGGCCTCCCATGGAGAGGATAAGGTCCAGGGATTTTCAGAATCTTTTTTTTTTTTTTAAATGGTATTGATTCTTTTAATATGTGGCTGATTTTTGCTACCTAGTTTTATTTTCAGAACATTTTTGTCTATGTTAATCAGGGATACTGGTTTTTAGGTATCTTGTATCTTTGGCTTTGGTATCATGGAAATGTCTTCCTCAAAAAATTTGTTTGGAAGTGTTCTTCATTTTCATTTTTTTCAAAGAACTTTAGAAGGATTTATGCTAATTCTTCTTTAAATATTTGATAAAATTCACTAGTGAAGTCATTTGGTCCTGGACTTTGATTTGTTGGGAGGTTTTTAATTATTCACTCTCCTTACTTGCTGTTGGTCTATTCAAGTTTCCCATTTCTTTATGGTTCAGTATTGATAGCTTGTCTGTTTTGAGGAATTTATTTTCTAGGTTATTGTATTTGCTGGAATGAAATTGTTTTTAATAGTCACTTGTGATACCTTTTATTTCTATGGTATCTGTTATAAGGTCTCTTCTTTTTATGTGATTGAGTGAAGAAATACTCTGAAATGAAGTTAACCAAAGAAATGAAAAACTGATAAAATATTGCAGAAAGACCATCTTCATAAGTGGAAAAACACCCCATATTCACATATTGGAAGACTTTATACTGTTAAAATGATAATACTACTTTAAATGATCTACAAATTCGGTGCAATTTCTATCAAAATCCCAGCAGCAGTTTTTTACAGAAATATAAATAAATAAAGTACTAAATAAATAAAACTTCTTCTATGTCTGGGGATCCAGAATAGTCAAAGCAACCTGGAAAAAGATGAACAGAATTTGAGGACCTATGTTTCCTGATTTTAAAACTTGCTGTACTCCAAAGGTACATTAGACAAAGCTTTATGGTACTGGCATAAAAACAGACATGATTTTCAGAATCTGACATATCATTGATCTGTTGTCTAACATCTTGAATAGCCATTGAGACATTAGCAGAGGGATCAGGGTTATACACACAACATTCAGTGTTTATAATTGCACAAGTACCCCCTTGTGCTGCTGTTAGAATGTCTAATGCCATCTGATTTTTTTTTTTTCCTGTACCGGGAATCGAACTAACGACCTCTCACTTGCCAAGCAGGCGCTGTGCCACTGAGCTAAATTCCCAGCCCTGCCATCCGATTTTGGAGGATGGCCTGTCTCATTAATTTTACTTCTTCATTTAGGAGAGAGAGACCAGCTGTAGTGTCACTTAAGGCCCGCTGAGCACAGTTAGTTAAGGCCTCAGTGTGCTGCATGACATCTTCTAACCCTAGGGAAGGGATAAAGATAGAGACCAAGTGATCACACCAGTGAAAAACACTTCTAGACTATCCATGTTGTAGGAGGGGTAAATTAGCAGTTTTGTCAATAGATTTGACACTCCTGCCTTATAACCATGCAAATCCTAATGTGCATCTTCCTATCCATCCAAGGCGTAGCCAGGACCACAAATTGGTCCCACAAGACCAATGAGTGCCATTGGGGGCTTCCCATCTAATTTCAGGGAGAATAAACCAATCTGTTGCAAACCGGTATTTAGCCTGCAAAGTTATTGTATGTATACATTGCTCAGGGGATGTCCACCCCAAGCATTTAGTGGAGTTAGGCCAACGAGAGCAGGAATAATTTTTTGTTCCCAACATAACAGGGCCTTTCTACTGAGATGGCCTATAGTGGGAGTTACCCGTATTTAACCATCCAGTATTTGAAAATAGCCATCCTGATATCTATGGTTGTTAGCCCTCAGGATAGGACCCTTACTTCCATTTAATAGGGGCTTTACTAGTCCCCATAGAGAGGCTTCAGTGATGTTGTGGAAAAAGACTCGATTATGTCCAGCATCGTTAAAAGTATAATTTATAGGCCACTCAGTTACTTTGTAATGTGGGCTAAGCTATGGACTATTGAACTCCTTCATAGCTCATTAATATAGTCCTGTAATTTACTCCAGTCATCTCCCTGATGTGGGGATACCCACCGAGGAAGTCCTGATGTACTTGACAAGGGGAGTAGACCACATATCCAGCAAGAGGTTTGTTGTCATGATTCTGCATATTCTTGTGCCCATCTTAGAAAGGAATTGCATCCTCCTCTAACGGGTGAAGTGAAGCAGATTGATTTAATAATTTAGATACTGTTATGTGACCTGAATAAATGATGCTGTGGGATAGGCAGGGGTTGGTAAACCCTTTGCTGTGAAAATCAGGTAGTAAAGACTTTAGCTTTGAGGGTTGTATAGTTTCTGTTGCTACTACTCATGCATAACACTCAACACTGCTACTGTAGGACAGAAGTAGCCATAGACAATAGGTTTGACCCATGGATCATAATTTTCCAATCCCTGGAACAAACCAAGCCAGAAAAAGCGAGATGATGACCACATGAGGAATAGTGGGTCCTTGAGTGATGAGAAAAAACAGTTTACCATGGGTTCCCTTAGTGAAGAGCATTCCTAGTAGGAAAATGAGCCGTTGAAAAAGCCCAGGAGTGAGGCTCTGCATAATCCCGAGACAGAAAGAAGGCCAGAGTGTACGAACCAAATACGAAAGTAAGGGATGATAACACCAACATAGGTTGCCACTAAATCTGAATTATTTCCAAAGTGTGATAGAAAGTTACTGGAGGGTTTTGAGCAGACTGATGCTCAGAAGGGCCTGTTTCTTGACAGAAAGAGGAAAGAAAATAGTTTCTTCTTTATAGAACACCTAGCAAGTGGTTCACACAGCAGCACCAAATCTCTTCTTGAGTATTGGTTCATAAAACCCTGTTCTTCCAAAGGGTTAAGTCTTGGTATAGAAGGAATTATAGGAACCATGTATACCACATATTTTATAATTAAGTTCATATGAAACCCAAAGAGGTTAACTACTTTCCCTAAGAATCACTCAGCCCAAAGCCAGCAAAGGTGGGAACTGAAAAATTTAGAGAAGTTGAGGAATGAAGTTTAGCCTGATGATGACATATTTGTTGTGTTGTAGACAGGATGATTCTAGACCCAGTAGGTGATGTCAGGTCTGCGTTATTATTGAATACAGCCTCATATGGGCTCAGTGTGGAGTTCTAGAGAAGATAAGGTGTAAGGCAATCCTGAACAACCAATATCTTCAGGTACCTTAGTGCTGAGCAGTGACCTGAAAACACAGAGGAAGTCTTAGGCATGAACTTTCTTCCGCTGGCTGCTGGCCCGAGAATTTAGCCCTGAGATTCCACTGAAGTGGGACAGAGGAGGGTGAGAGAAAAACGGCAGGCACCAAATGGAAATGACAAAGGGTTGCTCATGAGCATGCGAAAAGACTTCCTTGGCACGTTTGAGAAGAGCTGAAATATGCAAGCGCAGGTGCCAACGGAGATGTATTGCTGTTCACTGCACTTCGTCTTTGCCACCCTGCACAGCGTGCTCTCGGGAAATAGATGTCACATTCCAGCTTTCATATTTATATGATAATAATGGACCCATCTTCCTGTCCATTCAGAAAATGCATTCAGTCCCATCTTAAGTGTCTGCCTGCTGCCTCTTCCAAAGCACTGTTTTTTTCTTGGAGCCAGGACAAAGAGCATTAATGACTCCAGGTCTGTGCCCAGACTTTGGCACCTCAGCACACTGGTCTGGCAGGATGGTGAGGGACAGAAGGGACCCACATTTCAGAGGCAACACAGTTGAGCTGGGCAGGAAAAAGGCCTTAATCAAGGGTTTTGAAGTTGGGTATCAAGAAATGAGGCTCCTCCCTAAGTAGACAAGTGGGATCTCACCAAGTTAAGACCCTGCTGCTCCAGCAGCGAAGAGAACCTTCTCATTCCTGGATAAGGACCTCAACACTACCTCATGCCCAGTAAAGCTACCTTCCTATTTATAGAAGAGAAAATTGCTATGAATTGTACTTTCCAAATTTAGGGCTATCACTTGAGTTCCATTTCTACTCTAACCAGCTGGAAAAAGTTCTCTCACTCCACATGTACACACTTGAAATCTGGCCAGTCGTTTTAAGAGTCCACTCCCTAGAGAGGGTTAGCAGAAAAGAATCAGTTCCAAACAATGACAAGGCCATGCCTTTACGAGAAGGTCACCCTTCCTATTGCAGAGAGGAGGTAAACCCTCTTGGTTAACAATCAAACCACCTTCAGCCACAGGAAATTTTGAATCATGTGTTGTTTCACTGAAAGATTCAATTATAGCCTTGGGGTTTTCTGCTAATGGAGAGAATGAAACTTCAGGTCATATAAGCAAGGAAAGTCAAAGTTCTAAGAAAAGAGTGCTAGTGTCTTCCCGACCGTATCCAACAGGAATTCTTAACCACGCTACAGGAGGGAATTCATGTTTTACTGGACAGAATTGGATATGAGATGTGCTGACTCAACTCAAACTACTTTCAATACATAGGCTCTAAGCACTTACAGGGACAGTGTAGGCAAGAGGCATGGAAACCAACAGAAGCTGACACATTAGGACATGGGTCTCCATAAGAAAAAGGGAGGGACCAAGAGACCGAGGGAGGGGGAGGGAATGAAGAGAAGAGGATGGAAAAAAAGTATTATGGTGTGTTATGTACATGTACCAATTCTTTAGGAGGAATCTAATCATTATGCACTGTAAACATGCACCAATAAAAAGTAAACTTGAAAAAAAGTAATGTTAAGGTGTATACAGATAGCTGAGCCCCCATTTATGACTATTTATATTTTGCGAGTCTTTTCTCTGCTGGGAAAATGTCCTATCTGGAGTTTATTCTTCCACTTTCCCTTTTAGCTAGGCTAAGGGCTGTGTCTTAGACTGTGTCATGCAGCCACAGCCACACAACACTTCAGTCTGACCAAAAGCAATGTGAGGGGGGATTTTAGGAGTTCTGGTAAGGACAGCATCGCAGCAGAGGCCCTGTGTTCCACAGGGAGCTGCGACAGAGCCTCTATGCCCTGTCTCCCGTGTAACCGGGTAAACAGCTGTGCCTGGGACAGGCTGGGGTGGTTTTAGTCCATGAAGCTTCACACTTGCCTTGGGCACTTTAGACTAATTTTTTTTTGTTCTTTTTTACTTACCAGAAGCATTTTGGTGGAAACATTTGAAAATTCTCAGCAGAAGGCACAGGGAAGGAAAAGAGAAAATAAAGGGATAAAAAGGGAAGCAGGTAAGACAACGGACAAAGAAGTAGGTACAGAGAGGGAGACACATAAGCAAGTAAAGTATCTGTGCCAATAACAGCCTGAGTTCCCAATAGGCCAAGAAGCACATTATTCCACAGGATCCTCATCAAATTTGTGCCTGTGCCTATTTTACAGATAGAGAATTTGAGGCTGCACAGAGTAGAGGAAATTGAATCCCAGATGGTAAAACCTGAAAACTTCTCTTCACTTTAAAACCTGCCTCCATTACCCTTTCCACAGTAGGCTAACACAAGTGGCTCTGTTTGCACCCTGTGGCTTCCGCTGGGCAGTAGACTGGCTGTACCCCATTCCAGCAGTAGAAACACCCCTTGGCCTGAGGCAGTTTGGTTCCCAGCATGCTGTTGGCTTTGGCTGGAGCAAATCCACTTCTCCCCTGGCTGTCCCATGACACAGTGTACAATAACCTGGCTCTCGCACACACACTGGGCTTTGTCTGGAGTGACACATGCCAAGGGAGCCTGGATATGGGAGCTGGGCTGCTGAGAAAACAGCATCTCCTTTTGGAAGCATGTGTTCACAGGGAGCTGGGCAGGGCTGGGCAGAGAAGAGAGGAGCTTCAGGCCAAGAGGAGGTAAAGGCCAGCTGTCCTGGCCCATTCAGACTGGTATAAGAGAACCGAAGTCTGGGCAGTTTATCAACAATAGAGACCAAGGTGCCAGCAGTTTTTGTGTCATGAAGGCCCTTTTCCTGGTTCACAGGCAGCCATCTTGCAGTATGTCCCCACAGAACTACAGCAGCCATGTTCAAGTAAGTATTCAGCCTTTTGAGCTCTAGTTGGTGTACAAAACAAACAGACCTCCAAGAGAAGAATAGTACAGTAGATGGTAAATATTTTTCTTTTGTTTTTATGAACACACATTAGTTGTACATATTAATGTTATTCGGTGTGATATTTCAACGTATGTATGTATTGTGCAATGGTCAAACCAAGGTAATTAGAATTTCCTTCTCCTTATCATGTTTGGGAACTTTCAAGCTCCTGTCTTCTGGACCTCATAAAAATACATACAGTAATAGGTGACTGTGAACTACAGTCCTCCCTCTGTGCTGTTGGACACCAGAATTCATTCTCTCTGTATTTTGGTATCCATTATGCACCTTCCCTTTATTCACCCTCCAATTTCTAGTAATTACTATTCTACATTTGATCGACTTTTATTTAAAGCTTCCACCTATAAAAGAGAGAGCATGTGTGGTATTTGTCTTTCTGTGCTTGACTTATTTCACTTAATATAATGCCCTCCAGTTCCATCCATTTTCCTGCAAATGACAGTACCACATTCTTCTTTGTGGCTGAGTAATATTCCATTGAGTACGTGTACCATATTTTCTGTATCTGTCCGTCTTTGATAAAATTGTCTCCAACAGTCAAATGAGTGTTATGCATCAGAAAGACTGCTGAAGAGTTATCCACATTGTTTGTTAAATGCCACTGTGAGCTCTACCCACCATCTTCTTGTTCCTGTGGGCTCCCAAGGCTGTCAGCTGATGAACTACATTCATACTAAATGAATACAAGAAAACTGACCGGTTGGATTTTATTCCGTTTCCCATAAGGCACCACATCAGCTGAGTATCTTGAGGTCAAAGCCTTCTGTTAGTGAGTAGGCTTTGGCCTTGGTCAGTCTACCAGGCTTCCCTCAAGAACCTCAGCAGATATAGACATGTAAGATTGATCACACACTTAAACATTAACTGTTCCTTTCAATAGAGCAATAAAAGTCAGTATGGGTAGGGACCCTCTCAAAAGTCATTTCCAAGACTGGGTCATCATCTCCCATACACCTAAACCCTTTAGCACTCTGTTGGAAGAAGGTGGAATAGATTTTGTCATTGTATATGCATTTCCCTATCCACACCCTGTCCGACACCACGGCTTAGAAGATTATCCTTCAGATTTACAAGGGAGGAGCAAACATAAACTTAGAGAAAGTATCATGCTCTTTTATTTGTCAAAAAAGAATGCCAAGTCGGAACCACAAGACCTGTTCTTCAGGATCAGTACATCCCTTTGTCACTCAAACTCAGAGGAGGAAGTAAGAGAGGGATTTTTCATATACACATGCAAGTGCCCTAGTGCATGAGTTTCTGACTAAATGCTATTTATGGATCCAGGACATAAACCTAGAACACCAGGATTACAAATGTGCTGCTAAAGCAGACACTGCTAATCAATCACAGTATTCATTGTATCAGGTTATGGCCTCTCAGAGGTTCCTATAGTTCTCCAGCCAGCCATTACCAATGGGTCCCAGAACACCAGATACACTCAGTTTAATGTGAAGTAGTCAGTAGGGTCTTGAGGGGTACAGTTCCTTCTTTAACTCACTTGTTCCCTGTTAGCATAACCTAATAATGCAACATGATCAGAATACCCTTTAGTGTTTGTCAAATGCATGAATGAATGAAACGATAAATTAGTGTCATTATTTAGACAAATATGACTGTACTTTCTTCTTTTTGTACCACCTTCTCCCCAGCTATTTGCCCAGGCAGTGCTGCTTCTAAGGTGCTAGAATCTTCTGAGTTCCAAACCTGTGCTTTGGTTAGAGAAACTCTCATGCTGCATTAGCTTTATAATTCTTTACACTGATCCTAAACTACAATGCTTTTTGTTTTGATTCCTCATCATTTTCCTGGTAGGCTCAGTGATTCTGCTAATCTGGGTTGGGCTCGGCTGATGTCAGCTGGGCTTATTCACGTGCTTGTAATTAATTTGTTAGGAGACTGTGGATAACTGGTCTAGAATGGCCTTGCTGGATAACCTACCTCTCTTCCATGTGCCTCTGACTTAACTCCCACAAACTAGCTCAGGCATGTCTTATGGTGAGAACAGGGGTTAAGGAGAGCAAGCACTTTTGAAGCTTTTGCTGAGGTCCAAGCAAGTTACATGACCAAGCCACAAATCAATTTGCAGGTTGCTATCCATGGGGTAGATTCAGGGAAGAGTGAAATCCAGGGTCATTAATGCAATCACCCTACCACATGATAGAAGAGACTGTAGCTTCTTGTGTGGGAAACTGTAAAACAGAGCCTGTATCAATCCCAACCTTATGAAGGGAAAGTTTCAAGTCAATGACAATTATGCTTCAGCTGAATATCTTGCGATCAAAGCCTTCTGTTAGTGAGAAGGCTTTGGCCTTGGTCAATCTACCAGGCTTCCCAGAAGAACCTCAGCAGATACAGACATGTAAGACTGATCATACACTTAAACATTAACTGTTCCTTTCAATAGAGCAATAAAAGTCAGTAGTACAACTATCTTAGCTATCCTGTGTATACATATATACATATTTTTCCCCTTCTTTCTTTTCTCTTATCCCTCATCTCAGTTATTCTTTCTTTTTGAGCAATTTCCTTTCCTTTCACAATGTCTGTGTTTATCTGAGTATCCAAACTGAAGATATCAATAGGTAATACAACAACCATTGTTAATTTCCTATCACCTTGTCTGAGATTCCATATTGCTTGTATTGTTTTTGTGTTATTTTCTAAATGCATGTGTATTTGTTAAGATGTTTTCGTTCTTTTATCTTTAAAATGAAAAAAAAAAAAAAAAGAACCTCAGCAGATGAAACAAGAATGAAGGACATCCCTGGATGGCTCAATTTCCCTCTAAGTTTCCCACTCACTTCCCCTCTGTCTCTTGAGAGTACTTCCTTTGTATCCACAGTGACCAGACTTGGCTGGTTCAAGCTGGACATCCCTTCACTCTGTTAGATTTTCCACAGCAGCTGTCATCATCTGGTGGTATTGGTGCTGTAAGTGTCAAAAGTAGGAGTAAAAGTATTTTTGGTGCCTTCAGAAGTTCACTTCCCATCTGGTTCCAGCTGCAGCTCTTTAGCCAAATCAAGTTCTCAACATCCACTTCAACAGGGAAAACATTCAAAGGACCCGCATGATTCTCTCTCCATCTGTTTAATTTCCTTTGAGTAAAACTCTCACCATAGAGAGATAAATCCGACTAGAGATTTGCTCGTTCTCTGGGATAGGCTTGATGACCTGGCCAGGATTATTATCTGTTGCAAGACTACAAGCTGGCAATTACCAAAAGATCATCTCAGTTGGAGGGATCTAAGAACAATAATTATTGTTTTAGATTTTTCACTTTTGGTGGGATCCGTACTTCAGGGGTGAGCAGTGAGATTTTTAAGTGTCTTTCTCTTTTTGTGGTCTGATACATGACAAAGCTCTATTCATTATATTCTGTACTCAAGACAAAATAAAAGCAGTGCCAATCCGCTTTCCCAGTAATCCTGGATGTCACTTCACAATCTGTCTATACACAGACCTCCAGGAAATCGTTCTAATGGACCAGAACTGGCAACTAAAATGCAAAGTACTTACCATCTTAAATTAGAATGCACTAAGAGTGAGACAAACTGATTACTACAGATTGAATTGTATCTTTCCTAAATCCAGATTTTGAAGTCCTATCACCAGTACCTCAGAATGTGGCCTTCTTTGGAAACAGAGTCTTTGTAAATGTAATTAAGATGAGGTTATTTGGTTAGGATGAAGTTACACAGGTGCAGGGTGGACCCTTACTCCAATAGGATAATGTCCCTATAGGAAGGGGGAAAGTAGACACTCAGACAGAGAAAAGCACTATGTGAACATGAAAGCAGGGGATCTACAAGCCAAGGAACGACGAAGATTGCAAGTAAGCCAGAAGCCAGGGAGAATGCATGGAACAGATTCTCCCGCCAAGCCCTCAGAAGAAACCAACCTTCTGACACCTTGATCTCCAGCTTTCAAATCTCCAGAATTATGAGACAATAGACTTCTATAGTTTAAGCCCCTCACTTTATGGTTTATTATGGTGTCCCTACAAACATAACACATAGATCAAAGAGAATGTTGCCTCTGGAAATGGGTTATTTCTAAGAATAAGGAAGTTTTAAAACAGAAAGAAACTGGGAGACCAGACAGACAACTTCTCTTCTCCCAGTCACAAACCT